GGGCTCGTTAGAGCGGCCACCGGGAGCGCTACGCTATGCGGAGGAACCGCGCGACTTTGTAAAAATTCCGCCGTCGTCCGGGCGAGCCAAAGCGCGTGAAGAACACTCGCGACACAATTAATTCACGGGTAGCTGCGAATGAGAGGAACGCGGTATACGGCCCGCGTGTTACTATCGAGAGGGTAATGAAAAGAAGAAAGGAAACGTCGCAGAAAACGCGGCGGGAGATACCGAATCATCTAGAGACTTAGCCGATTACCGCCGGTCACTCTAGAGCAACGAGCGAGTGATTAAAGGAAACGAGTTTCATTAAAAATCAGTCTTACTGTGGCGGGGCTTGCCCTTAAGGCTCCCCGTCGAACCGTAAAGTTTCAGCGGCGATTTACGATCCATCGGGTAAGTGTAAAATTCTATTGCGCGCGCGATTTAATCCGCTCGTTGCGGTTTAAATGTCAAACTGTTGAGCGGCAAGCAAGACTCCTCGGTGTAGATTTCGAGTGTCGCGCGGGGGGTGCTCGACAGATAGATTCACAGGAAGTGGAATGATAATGGGATGACAACGTGAAGAGAGACGAAAAACTAGAGATACGAGTGTCGGGTTATTGCGAGGGTGCACGTCCGTTGTTTAATCGGGGGGAAAAAAGGGGATATGACCGACGCGTTGCGAGACATCTCATTGATCCGGGGGACGAAATTTTACGCATTGACGGATCCGTGGCCGTGACTCGGCGAGCGAAAGCGCGGCCGGGTGAAATAGTAACGCGGGATTCCTATCGAATAGCGGTCCCGGAATTACGTGGATGCGAGGAATAAAGGAGAACGAGGAGGCAGAAGGGTGCGGTAGACATGTTAGACCGAAAGTGACAAGTCTCACCTTGTCTGAGGGTATGTTGCGCGAACTCATCGTAGATGGTGACGAGGGGGTGTCGTGAGGAATCCAGAGGCCGTCTGTGATCTGACCCAAAGCCGTGTTTCCCGAATGGCACAGGTATTAACAAACGGCGACAGCAGCGAAAAGCCAGTGCGACGCACTTACTCGATGAAAACACACTCACGCACAGCTCACTATTCCGGGACCATTTCGGCCCGAGCCCTCGCTGCCCGATCACTCACTCCGACACCTGTCGTTACTTGTACATGTCGGGCGCGAAGTATTTGGGTAACATCTTGTAGATAACGAACGGAATACGCTCTCTATGTTTGCACCGCACGCACCCACCGTCCCAGTCTCAGAGCCAAACACATAAAATGGCGAACCTGAGACGATGCAGCCTTCTGGCCGAGCTTCGGTCACAGAGTACACGATGGACTAGTCGATCCCGTTCGATGCTCTCGACAGGTGGCAGTGGGAGAAGCATTGCCAACGACATCCACGGCAAATGGGGGAACTGAACATTGAACTGTCGTAATTTTGACGTGTGGACGAAGCTTGTTACAAGTATACAAGGTGTCTAGAATAAAGTGTACTGTGAAGTGAGTTTTTTTTTTAAATTCATTGAAATTTGGAACATATTTTGTGTTTGGAATTTCAATAAGTTGGATTATTGAGAGGATATTTCGTTCGTATTCTTAGTTTTCATCGGGGAACCTTTCGATATTATAGAAACATTTAACATGGAACACATTTTGTGTTACGGAATCATAAATTTTGAATAGGTTACACATTGTCCTTCAGTGGGTGCTTTTGTTTATGTTATGCGTTTATTTCTCAAGTATTCTTGTTATTTTGTTACTGTGATATCAAGAGCAAATTAACTGATAGTAATTGTAATTAGTGAAACTGTGAACACTACCTTATGTTGGTGCATTAATACATAACCTCGTCGGTGACCCTAAAGTTTTGACAGTTCACGAATGATAGATTATATTGCTTTGTTTTAATATTCACTCGCATGTAATCCGGGGATTATGTATAAAGTTATGTACTTCATGTATATTTGACGCACAATGCAATATCTGTGATAAACTTTTTATGAAAGTAAATGAAAAAATGTCCGCAATTATAGATGATAAAGTGGTTGCAGGAGCGCAATCCGCAAATGTTGTCAAAGAAGATCCGATTGTTGCTCTGACGGTACATATACGGATTTAATTTTAATATTTATGCAATAAACAAGTTTCGATTATAATAGTCCTCCAGTATGTTATGAAAGTTGTCGTTTATTTCATCTTTTAATAATTCTCCTAACTTTTGTAGGAGAAAGTAAATGCTTTGTATTTTTTTCGAGATCATTATTTTGAAAATCGCCCTATCGAAGAAGCAATTAAAAAAAATGGTGACATAGAGAAAGAAATGAAAGATACATTAAATAAGTTCGATGAATGCAAAGGATATGAGATTGACGGATCACGTGCAAGATACTATTATCTGAAAGGAAAAGCCTTAAATGTTACAGAGTGTTTTGTGCCTCAAGCAGAAGAGTTATTAACTAAAGCAGTAAAATTAGAACCTAATTTAATAGAAGCATGGAACGAATTAGGAGAATGTTATTGGAAAAACGATGATATTCAACAAGCAAAAAATTGTTTTGTTGGTGCTTTACGCCATGTAATACTTTCATACATTTATATTTATTAATTTTTTATCTGTATGTATTGTTATCATAAGACAATAATGTATATTATAGGGTAGAAATAAAGTATCTTTAAGAAATCTATCTATGGTTCTTAGACAGGAACCAGTTTCTAATAATGAGCAACGAATACAAAATATACAACAGGGAATGGAATATGCAAAAGAAGCAGTTGGTCTAGATACTACAGATGGTACTTCCTGGGCAATTTTAGGAAATGCCTATTTGTCTTCCTTTTTTACAGTAGCACAGAACCCTGCAACATTACGTTGTTGCATGTCAGCTTACCTGCAGGCAGTAAGTTATTTAAACAGCAATGTATTCATAAATTTCTAAGTCTATCAAGACTATAACAAATTCCATTTTAGGAGAAAGATATTGTAGCTGGAAGTAATTCTCATTTATTTCATAATAAGGCAGTGGTAGGTATTTTATCATATGTAAATATAGTACACAGATTCACAATTGGTCTTATACGAATAAATGACTATGTTAGGCTTTGAAATACCAAGAAGAATACTCTGCAGCACTGCAATCATTTGAAAGAGCAATGTTATTAGATCCACTATGGGACACACCACGCACCAAAAGAGATGAACTATTGCAATATTTAAAAGATGTACAAAATTTAGTGAACAATAATGGCAGAGTAAAACCAAAGAGATTGTACCAAATGATACGGGTATACAGAATTTTGTTATCATTGCATTTCTCCGTAGATTTCATAAACTTAACATATGATTTTGGTATATGTTCATATTTATTAATTTCTGGTTGAATGCAGGCATTGGATATTAAACATTTGGGACCATATAAAGGTGGCTCTTTCACATCTGGTCAGAAAACTGTGAAATTAGACTTAACAATGCTGAAAGATTTATCTGCTGGTGCGAATCCAGAGAAAGTTGTATTTGGGAAAGTAGTATGTTGGATACAAGATACAGATTGTGTACCTTTGTAAGGATATTTCCCATTATGTTTAAAGAAAAAGTAACAAATGAGAGATAGTATTTATTATATTAATTAATAAATACATAACTTTTTAGCGCTTTTTGTCTGGTTGATGAAGAAAAAACGTGTATTGCTGTAACAGTATATAATCTGGCTAAAGATCGTGGCGTTACCGTAGGAGATTCTGTAGCTATACCTGAACCTTTTGTTATCCACCAGAAGTTTTCTTATCTTAATAATGTTGGTATAATACAAACACATTGCTGAGATTTTACAGTTAAATACAAATCTCTAATGATGTGTCTTTTTCCAGGACTTTGATTTCAAATCTATACGAGTTGAAACACCAGTAATATTAGTTGTCAATGGCAGAAAACTAGGTAGAGAGCAACAAGCCTCTGCAAAATTCCACACTTTCAAAAAAACTGACTGAGCCCAAATTCTTAAAAATTAATAGTGAAACACTATTGACACCGAGATTATTCCGTGATCGAAACAACAATTGAAGTGGTATTTGAATTTTAAACTCAAGTATTAATACATTCGTAGAGATAAATAATCTTCTGACAGTCAATATCGCTGAAGATTGGCGAATATATTTGTATTGTTGAGCGTTTGCTTAGGAGGATATCGTTCAAGTTGCAGACAATTAAATTTTAAAAAAGTTTTACATAGTTTGTTTTTTACATGAAAATTCATGTCACGTAAGTATTGTTACGTTTTGTTTATAATATATTAACTAATACAGACATCTCAAGGACCTGAAATCTTTTACGCGATAAGTTATTTCAACGATTTTTTTCTCAAAATATGACATTATCCTGTTTTTGATAGTAAGTTATTGTATATGCCTGTAAGATTTTATCAAAACCAATGAGGTAAGGTTCTCAGGTCCTATCTTCAAGAGTCAATTACATTATAATTTACATAAAGCACAGATGAATTACATATAAAAATACTGACTTTTATAATACACTTTTGTGTACTTTTCAATCTAAGAAAAATGTTCGTTGCAATGGCATTTAA